CCTTTTCTGACTTAGCCTCAGAAGTTATACAGCACCTATACTTACGCTCAAGCCACTAAGGCCAGTTCAACGCAAGTCAAGGGGACAGACTCACTTCTCAGAAGGAGAGGGTCAAATACTTTGAAGATATGGGACCAGGAGATGGCATAATGGTTACATTGGTGGACTCCCACATAGTTGACCACAGTTTGAGTCCCAAACCTGGTACCTTAAAACTCACTTTGGCGTTTGTGCATGCATGCCCAAAGTCCTGAGAGGAGAATGAAAAAGAAGAGACTGCTGCGTGGCCATTCCCCTGGGGGGCAATTTCTTACTTTCTGTCTCTCTGTCTCTCTCTGTCTTTCTGGAGAGCGCATGCACCCTATAACAAAAATCTCTCTTAAAAAAAAAAAGAAAGATTTTGAAGACATATTTTAAAAGTACCGTAGTCTGCCCTTTGAACACAAATTATCCCTTCCAATGCAAAATATGTTGTACAAACTCAAAAGTCTCATCAAATGTGCCAGGCTCACACTCCAGGCCAGGATCTCATGATCTAAGTCAGTTCCAGGTATTGGCTCCATGACTGCCGAGGTATAGCAACTCTCAACCACTTCCAGAGGGAGAGAAGCAGGTACAGGTACATCTTTGGGAGAGCAAAGGATGCATCTCTCGACCTGTTCTGCCCATGATGGTAGCCACTAGCCACGTACAACAATTAAATTGAAATAAAATAAAAGGAAATACTATGGAAACTTAGGCCAGCTCCATGGTGCAGTGGTTAAGCCCTAGTGCATAGACAGCTGGATCCCATGTGGCCTACCGCGGTTCAAGTTCCAGCCCTGAAGGCTTGAAAAACACACCAGGCATATGTGCATGTCTGCCCCAAATCCCAACAGGACAGAGAAATGAAGGAGAAGGGATCGCCTCTAGCAAAAAAAAAAAGGGATCGCCCTAAAAAAAAAAAAAAAAAAAAGAAAGAAAAAGAAACATTCAGTTCCTCCACCTCCATTGTACGAGCCAATTTTCAAGCACTCAGCAGCTACACATGGCTAGGTGCAGGTGCAGAATACTCCCATGGTTGCCACAGTTTTATTCGATAGTGCTGATTGGACAACGTAAGTATAAGGATGCCCTGTAATCCAGCAATCCTACTCCTCAATATGCGTCTTGGCGTGGCCTCTCCCAAAACCATACCCTGAGTCAAATGTACAGATGGTTTATTTGGAAGATATTCCCCAGAAGCACAAGTGAGAGGAAACTGAGCCTGACAGAGCAAAAGACCGATGGATGCTGCAGAGTCAGGGCTAGAGGGAGACACCTAGAGCACTTGCCTGACCCCGCGAGTGAGCACTCCCTTCATTTTGGCACCCTGATTCCCTCATTTGCTTTCAAGCCAGCCCTGAAAGGGTTATTGCTGTGAGCAACTAGAGTCATCCGTGCTGGAGATCCTCAGAAGATCAAGAAATCACATAGAATACACCTCAGAATTGGCGCGCTGAAAGGGAAAGAGGTGTAATATATATATTTTAAGTTTATGTATGTCTTTTATCTGAGAGAGCGAACGAGAAAGCAGTCCTCTTGACAGGAGCTTGCCATGCTGCATCCTCCCCACAGCCTCCCAGCCAGCCAGGATTCCAAGTGCCTGCAGGGGCGTGCCTGGCATGTTCAAGTCGACCTGGGATTTAAACCTGGGCCTCCACTTGGCTCCAGCATTACACCCTGCTGCCTATGCTACCATGGATAGGCCTGCAATATTTATTCACTGGCTCCCCATCCTCACTGGTTGAGGATTACCCCTGGGGGGATCAATCCTGGTATTTCCAGTTTGTTCTGCATGCAGATACTATAGAAAGACCAGACACAGAAGGAGTAGCAGAAAATCCAGGCACAGGAGGTGGGAAGCTGTCGGTGTATGAAGGAACTGCCCACCGTATCTACAAGTGTGTGCAAAAGTCAGCAGAAGGGATAGGGTGGGGAGTTACCAGCTGGTGTGTTATAGTACATTCTAGAAAACCTCCCAAACAAAGGACAGGTGTGAGCCTCCTGGTGATGGGAAGCTGGAGGCAACCTAAATGTCCATCACTGAGGGAATAGGTGGGTACAGGTGCCCTGGGCCCCCCACAGAACACAACGCAGCAACTAGAAAGAGGGATGTGTTGTACTCCACTGTATAGAGAGAGCTCAGGCATTCCATGTGTCTTTTTAAAAAGGAAGAAGTAAAAGGAAATTTATAGCACAATCCCATTTATGTAAATTGGAAACACATACATACACACACAATCACAAATTATAAAGATATATCTTTGCAGCTCCATATCAAATGCATGAAAGAGGGAGTCTGTGAGGGGGAGTGGTGGGAGTGGGGATTGGAAATGGGGGGGGTAAAATCTTTCATGGACCAGTTGTCATTCTGCGTTACTATCTGAAAAGTATGATTAATAACTTGCTGTGCCTAAGGGCTAAAAAATAAACTAATTAAATAAATAAAGGAATGAAAAATACAAAGTGCCTGCACAATCAGAGCAGTTTCTTACCTGCTACGTGATTATTACTACTGCAGGGGATGTGAGAGCACGGCAGCCAGGCTCTCTGCCTGCCTTCCAGAAGCCCTCCTCACTGCCTTCTCCCCAGGCAGCCCATTAGTCCTCAGGAAGTGCTTGCCCCAAAACAAGGAGCTCCTACTCTTCCGTGTATCCAGGGGGCCAGCAAGGGGCTTGGGATGCCTGTTACTCCTGGAAGTTCTTGTCTTCCTTTTGGCTGCATGTAGAATGGGGTTAAGGGTATAGGATTCTTCTCATACCTGACCTCTGCCTTTTTTTTTTTTTAAGAGAGATTTTTGCTATAGGGCACATGTGCTCACCTGAGAGAGAGAATGAGAAATCACTCCCCAGGTGGCATGGCCATACCACAACCCCGTCTCCTCCATTTTCCTCTTGGGATTTTGGGTGTGCAGTACATGCACCTGGCGTGAGTTTCAAGCTACCGTATCTGGGACTCAAACCGTGGTTGGCCATGAAGGAGTCCAGCACCATAACCACTACGCCACCTGCCCACCTCGACCTCTGCCATTGTTAACCAGCTATGGAACCTTACCTCAGTTGTCTCACCAGTAAAATGGGAGATTATTGTTGCATTAGTCAAGGTTTTCCACAGAGACAGAACCAAGAGGGGAGACAGAGAAAAAGAGAGAGATGGATTGACAACTTTATGGATAGATGCATAGATCGATCAACTGACTGCTCAATAGAAGAAAGAGACTTTGCGAGGAGACTTGGCTCATGGATTATGGCAGCCGAGAAGTCCCACAGTAAACTGCCTGCAAGTTGAAAAACCAGGAAGCCGACAGAATGTTTTGGTCCAAGTCTGAAAGTCCTCAGAACCAGGGAAGCTGGTGTAGAGCTCTCAGTCTGAGGCTGAAGGCCCAGAAACCTGGGGACTACTGCTACAAGCCCAAAGCCCAAAGGCCAGAGAACACGGAGTTCTGATGTCCAAGGGCAGGAGAGGGGTGTCCTGGTTCAGAAGAGAGAGTGTGGATTTGCCTTCCCTCTGCCTTTTTGCTCTCCCTGGGCCCCCAGCCAAGTGGATGTTAATTGCCTAACTTTGGGAGAGAGCCCTTACTCAGCCACTTAGTCAAATCAAGTCTTTTCCAGAAACTCCATCATGGTCTACCCAGAAATCATGCTTTACTAGCTATTTAACTATGCCTTAACCTATCAAAGTGACCTCTAAAATTAGCCACCTCAGTCACAGAAGTAACTACTTGGGTCCCAGGTGTGGCACAGTGGTAAAATGCAACACTGGGAGGCTGACCCACATGGGAAGTTTCTGGGTTCCCTTCCAGAGCCCTCCCTGAATACTCTGGGTATGTGGGTGCTCATGATCTAGGGCTGGCTGAAATGGGGGTAGGTCTTGGCATGGAGACCTTATTGGGGGTGCTTTCTCTTTTTCTCTGTGTGTATTTGTTTGTTTGTTTATTTTGTGTTCTCCGCATCTCTCCCCAGGGAAGAAATAAATAAACTTTAAAAAATGAAAACTACTCATGAGAATGTTAGGAGCATGACACAATCTGGTTCATGGAACATGCTTAAACCAACGGCAGATGCTCCCTCTCTGCCGCTTGACTTTGGGAGAGAGCCCTTACTCAGCCACTTAGTCAAATCAAGTCTTTTCCAGAAACTCCATCATGGTCTACCCAGAAATCATGCTTTACTAGCTATTTAACTATGCCTTAACCTATCAAAGTGACCTCTAAAATTAGCCACCTCAGTCACAGAAGTAACTACTTGGGTCCCAGGTGTGGCACAGTGGTAAAATGCAACACTGGGAGGCTGACCCACATGGGAAGTTTCTGGGTTCCCTTCCAGAGCCCTCCCTGAATACTCTGGGTATGTGGGTGCTCATGATCTAGGGCTGGCTGAAATGGGGGTAGGTCTTGGCATGGAGACCTTATTGGGGGTGCTTTCTCTTTTTCTCTGTGTGTATTTGTTTGTTTGTTTATTTTGTGTTCTCCGCATCTCTCCCCAGGGAAGAAATAAATAAACTTTAAAAAATGAAAACTACTCATGAGAATGTTAGGAGCATGACACAATCTGGTTCATGGAACATGCTTAAACCAACGGCAGATGCTCCCTCTCTGCCGCTTGGGCAGCCTCACCCACACCACCCCCAAGCCCCAACCCGCTGAAAGAGTCTTCAAGCCAGCTTCCGGTCCCTCCTCCTCAGCCTCAGTCAGTCTCCCCAAAATCAACTGTGCCTGAAGACTGTTCTAAATGAGATCCTCTGGAAGCCCGCAATCGAATTCAGTTTCCTTTTCCTTACTATGGCTCCAGGCTCACCGGGCCCCACCCACACCTGTTCACTCACCTGCCCAGGGACTGGCTCCGCCCACTCATGCCTATTAGTCAGAGATTCTCATTTCCTTTTGCCTTTTTGTTTTACACACATCATCTACCCATTCATTATCTACCCACGGCTAAAAAGCAAAGCCATGCCACCAGAGAAGCAGTCACAATTTGGCCATGGCTACAACGCACGTGTTACTGCTGGTCACCCTGGTGCTAGGCTTGGCCAGATCAAGCCCTGTCCCCACCTCCAAGTCCACCACAAATGGGAGGAGCTGCAACATGAGCAGGTTCAAATCTCTGTCACCTAGAGAGCTGGAGGCCTTTAAGAAAGCCAAGGATGCCTTGGTGAGTCCCTATTGCTGTGGGCTAACCTCTCTCCCTCTTTCTGTGGTCAAGCTGCTGTAATCTAGCCTCTTCCCTTCTGCTGTGGGCTAGCCTCTACTCTTCCAGCTGTGGAAGCCTCTACGCTTCTGTTGTGAGTTCCCTCTAGTCTTCCAGCTGCGGGCTAACCTCTACCCTTCTGCTGTGGGCTAGCCTCCAGACACCCAGATGTGATATATCCTCTACCCTTCTGCTGTGAGCTAACCTCCAGCCTCCAAGATGTGACATAACCTCTACCTTTGTGCCGTGGCCTATCCTCTACCCTTTTTCTATGGGCTATACTCTGCCCTTCTGCTGTGGGCTACTCTCCAGCCTCCCAGCTGTGGCTAGTCTCCTCTATTCTTTCTGCTATGAACTAAGTCTAAGCCCTCCTGCCAGGCCAGCTCTCATCCTGGCTACTATGGTTAGTCTCTGGCCCTCTTCCTATGGAGTGACCTCTGCCCTTGCTCCCTAGGAAAAGTCACTCTCACTGAAGAAATATAGCTGCAAATTCCGCCTCTTTCCAAGGGACTGGCACCCAAGGCACCTGCAGGTGAGGTAGAAGTCAGACCCCCAGCCCTTACCTTGCCCCTCTCCTCAGTCTCCTTAACTGGCTCCTTCGCCTTTATCTCACCCTCCTTCCCTCTCTCTGAGCTCTCCTCACCTGCTCTGTGTCCCTGTCACTCCTGACTTCTCCCTTGACCCTGTCTTTACCCTGGGTCCTTTCATCATCTCCTGCCTGTGCCACTGCCCCATCTCCCTTGCCTGTCTCTCCCACCTTACTATCGCCTAGCTCCTTCTCACCCCTCTCTCCTCCATATGTCTCCATCTGTCCTCACCCATTGCCCTTGTCCTGCTCAGCTCTTTCCTGTCTACTCTCAACACAGATTCCCTCTCGCCCCACCTGTTCCTTCATCGTCCTCCGCACACTGATCTTGTAGTTCATGCTCCTTCATCTTCCTTCTCACCTGCGCATCCCCCTGCCCCTCTCACCTCCTCCCTAAGCTACTCTCTCCTCACCTCCCCTATTCCAACAAAGCTCTGTGACTCTCACAAGTTCTTTTTTACTATCCTCATTTCACTTGTGTCCTCGCCTGTCTCCTCCCTTCTCTTCCTGCCTCACCTGCACACTCTCCACCTGCATCTGGAATCCCTCGTGTTCCCCTTTCCCATCACCTCTCCTGAGCGTGTCTCATGTCACCTGACTCCTCCCCTGGATCCCTACCCATCCCCACTTATCTAGGCCTTCTAATCTTCCTTCCTCACCAGCTTCTTTCTCCCCTGCCTTCAGATGTGGGAGCGTCTCATGGCCTTGGAGGCTGAACTGGCCCTGACCCTGAGGGTCCTGGGTTCCGTGGCTGACTCGGCCTTGGGGGATGTCCTGGACCAGCCCCTGCATGTGCTACGCCACATCCACTCCCTGCTCCAGGCCTGCGTGAGTGTCGGTCACTCAGGTCATTCGTGTCTGCCTCTACCATAGTCCTTCCCTGTGTTCCAGGCCTGCTCACATGCCACCCTCCTCTACCCACAGGTCCCAGCCCAGCCCCAGGGCCACCTCCCTAGCTGGCTGCTCCAGCTTCAGGAGGTTGAGAAGAAGGTGAGTGAATCGGGAGGGGATGATGTCTGGGAGCTGGTGGGACCAGACAGTGGTAGCCACTGACCATTCCCACCTCCCCCGCAGAAGTCCCCTGGCTGCCTCAAGGCCGCTGCCACCTTCAACCTCTTCCGCCTCCTCAACCAGAACCTGAAATGTGTTGCCAGTGAGGATCTGTGTGTCTAAGAACCTGGTCCTACCCACAGTTCACCTGGGAGCCTCAACCTTATTTATGCACTCAGCCCCATGCCTGTTTATGCTATTTCTTCTCACCCTTTATTTATGGAGCTGCAGCCCTGCCTCAGAGCCAGGGCTGAGTTTGTTTTGTTTTGTTTTGTTTTGTTTTTAACTTTTATACAATATATGCAAATAAACAACAAGGACTTGGAGCCTTCCCTGAGAGGCAAATCCTTGCACATGTGTGATTGTGGGTCCGTGACCGAGTGCAGTGATGTCTGTGGCAAAACTCATGCCTCGTTGTGCATGTATGTGTGAGTGAGCTCAGTGACTGTGTGTGTATGTGTGTATCCGAGTGAGTGTCTGCCCAACTGAGTCTAACCAGAGATGTGTAACTATGAGTATTCATGTGCTCGTGTGTTCAAGTATGTGTGCAGATTTAGGCCTGTGTTTACATGTTTCTCTACCAGTGGGGACAACATATCTTTCTTTTCCTTGTATACCCAGGACAGATGAATGTCTATACAAACCAGGATGGTTTTTCCCATAAGAAGTAATTAGAAAATTTCATTAAAATAGATAAAACAAAAATGAGTTTATAGGGCCCAGCAATTGGCGTAATGGCTATGTCGCTGGACTCCCATGTAGTCAACCGCAGTTTGAGTCCTGGACCCGGTGGCTTAAACTCACGCCAGGCACATGTGCATGTGTGTCCAAGATCCCGAGAGGAGAATGGAGAAGAGGATGCGGTGTGGCCATCCCATATGGGGGGGGGGGGATTTCTTGCTTTCTGTCTCTCTGTCTCTTTCTGTCTTTCTGGCAAGTACGCATGACCTATAGCAAAAATCTCTCAAAAAAAAATGAGTTTATAATCACACATAATGAAAAAATCAGGGCTGGCCCCATAACACAATGATTAAGGGCTGTACAAAGGAAGCTAACCAAGGTTCGAGTCCCGGCCCTAGCATCTTCAAAAACGTGCCAGGCATGTACACACATGCCCAGAATCCTGACAAAATGGAGAACTGAAGAAAAAAGGAATGAAGTGTAACTAGTCCCCATCAAGTGCTTCTCTCTCTCTCTCACTTTCTCCTTCTCTCACACCCACTAGCATAAAAAAAGAAAAGTCAGTTGGCAGGAAAGTTTTGAGACTGGTTGATTAATTAATTCCACTATACTGTTGGGGTCCCGGGTCCTTTTCATTTGTGTTGACTGATTCTTATTCTGATTACCTCGTAGTCCCAAGATGACAGCCACAACTCCAGCTATCACATACAAACAACCTCCAAGTCAAAATGACCATCTTAATATGTTTACAGATTCTGTGGGTCACAAATTTGGTCATGGCCCAGTATGAATAGCTTGTCTCTGTTCCATGATGTCTTGGATTTGATTCTTCTTTCTCCATTTTTTAAAGAACTGTTTTATTTAACTTTGACCAGAGAGGACAGAGGGGGAGAGGGAGAGAGGGAAAGTGAGAAAGCAAGCCACTAGGTCTGGGACTCTAACTGAGGGTGGCTGTGTGGGAGTTCAGCGCTCTTAACCACCACGCCACTTGCCAGCCCTCTTCCACCTTTCTTAAAAGCAAGGGAAACCTTTCACAGAAACTCCCTATTGAGTGTACGTATTGTCTCATTGACAAGAATTTAGTCACATGCCCAAGCCTAAACCAATCACTGTCAAGATGGGATAACAAAGATAGTCAGGTTAATCAAGATTTATCCCTACATCACTAGACTCCCATGTAGTCGACTACGGTTCGAGTACTGGACCCGGCGGCTTAAACTGGTGCTGGCATGTGCGTGCATGCCCAAAATCCCAAAAGGAGAATGGAGAGGGGATTGTAGCATGGCCATTCCCCCCCCCCGGGGGGGGTGATTTCTCACTTTCTATCTCTCTGTCTCTCTCTGTCTTTCAGGCGAGCACACACACCCTATAGTAAAAACCTCTCCAAAAAAAAAAAAAAAAAAGATTTATTCCTGACCCAGCTGCAGTAGTACAAGCTGCAGGGGCTCTGCAGGTTGGGACCACATTAGAGGCCTAGGTTTGATAATTAGTCTAACTTAACGGCCAGGAAGAAGTGGCATGACCCAACATCTTCAGAAGCTGAGTCAAAATGATCTTGGGCTTGGGACCAGCAGATGGCATAATGGTTACATCGTTGGACTGTCATGTAGTCAACTGGGGTTTGAGTTCTAGACCCAGAGGCTAAAACACACTGGGCATCCCTCCTGGGAGGGGGTGATTTCTCACTTTCTGTCTCTCTGTCTCTTTCTGTCTCTCTGGTGAGTGCACATGCCCTATAACAAAAATCTCTCTTTAAAAAAAAAAAAAAAGCATCTCGAGCTCAAGCCCCAGCCAGTAGGCTAAGGCAGGAGGATCACAATAGAGTAAGATCCTGTTGAAAAAAAAAAAGAAGGTTGTTCCTGTTTTACAACTAGTCTTGAAAAATACCTGAGACTGAGTGATCTATAAAGAAAAGAGGTTCATTGGGGACCAACAGATGGCATAATGGTTACATCACTGGGCTTCCACATAGTTGACCACGGTTCGAGTCCAGGACCCAGTAGTTTAAAAATTCACACACAGTAAGTGCATGTGTGTGCGTACCCAAAATCCTAAGAGGAGAATGGAAAAGAAGGGACTGTGGCATGGCCATTCCCCCAGGGGGTGATTTCTCATTTTCTGTCTTTCTCTGTCTCTCCAGCAAGCGCACGCACCCTATAGCAAAAATCTCTCTTAAGAGACAAAAGAAAGGAGGTTCATTGACTCATGATTCTGGTGACTACAAAGCCCAAAGGTGTGAGGCCAGCCTCTGAGGCTGTGTCACAACATGGCAGAGAGAAGAGAAAAGGACAGTGGGCCTGTGGAGAGAAATCTGCAGGATGCTGACTCCTTTGATAATAAGCCAGTGTTGGGAACCAGCAGTTAGCGTAATGGCTATGTCGCTGGACTCCCACACAGTCAACCGTGGTTCGCGTCCCAGACCCAGTGGCTTAAAACTCACGCCGGGCATGTGTGCGTGCGTGCCCAAGATCCCGAGAGGAGAATGGAGGAGAAGGGATTGTGGCGTGACCATCCCCCCTGGGGGGTGATTTTTCGCTTTCTGTCTCTATGTCTCTCTCTGCCTGGTTTGCGAGCGTACGCGGCCTATAGCAAAAACCTCTCAAAAAAATAAAATAAAATAAAATAAAATAAAATAAGCCAGTGTTGTGAAAACTCACTAGGGAGAGCTGAGTCAGCCCTCATCTATTCACAAGGGACTCACCCCATATCTCCAACACTTCCCCACCAGGTCACACAGCCCAAACAGCAGCATTTGGGGAACAAGTACTCAAACTAGCAACCCTGAGACTGGGGAGGAGCCCTTCCCTGAAAACATGCTCCAAGGAGGATAGACACCAGCATAAACTGAAGAATTCTACCAGCATGTAATCTAGTCATTAGTGGGGTGGCTAAGGCCATGGATCGCACATGGCTAACTTAGAAGTTTGAGTCCTGAACCCAGTGACTCACATATGCATGAGTGCCCAAAAATCCCAAAAGAATGGAAGAGAAGAGATTGCGGGGTGGCCATCCCCCCTGGGGGGTGATTTCTCTCTTTCTGTCTCTCTGTCTCTATGTCTCTGGGGATAGCAAAAATTTCTCTAAAAAAAGAAGAAATTAAATTAATTATTTTGTCAATAGTCTTTTGTTGTTGTTGTTCATTTATTTATTTATTTATTTCTTCCATGACCAAGAGAGACAGACAGCACCCCCAACAAGGTCCTGACGCACCTCAGCCTCAACAAGTCCTGTAGGGCACGCAAACTCAGAACCTTCCCATAAGGGAATGCCTCATGGAGCGTATAGTATTACTGCTCTGCCACCTCACCCACCACCCCCAGCTCTTTTATAGGCAAGGTCTCACTATGGTGCCCAGACCAATCTCAAACTGCCTCTCCTCCTGCCTCAACTTCCCAAATCACTGGGGTTGCAGGCACACACCAACACACTCAGTCTTTGAGCCAGCTTTGAAACCATCCTAACTCAGACAACAGACATGTGAATGAAGAAGCATCCAGATAGGTCTAGCAGGTGGCATAGTGGTTGAGGACTATATCAAGTAGACTCCTACTTGATAGACCGTTGTTCGAGTCCTGGACCTGGTGACTTCACACCAGGTACATGTGTGTACATGTCCAAAATCTCTAGAGAACAATGGAGGAGAAGGGATTGCAGCATGACCATCCCCCTGAGGCGGGGGAGTGGATTTTGAGCTTTTTGTCTCTCTGTCTCTTAGAGAATACATGCACTCTGTAGGAAAGGGGAAAAAAATAAGACTCTCTCTCTCAAAAAACAAAAAAAGAAGAAGAAGCATCTAGATGATTCCAGCTCCCTGCTAGAGCAGAGACGAGCCATTGCCACTGTGCCCCCAATCAAGTCCTAACCCACAGAATCTATGACTGTAGTAAAATAAGGTTTTGTTTTTGGTTTTGGTTTTAATTTCTTTTCTTCGCCCCCCCCCCCCAAAAAGTTTGGTTTATTACAACGTAACAGATCATTGGAACAGAGGGACAGATACCAGTCCATCGTAATTCATTGTGAGGGGGAGTCATGAGTAACCCACCAGGTCCAGCCATGGTACTGCAATGGTACACAGCACACAGTGCTCTGCAATGCTGGAAGCCACACAGAAGATCAGCACATGTGTATGTCCATGGTCTCTGTTGGCTGGGAAAGCTGGGGAGGTGGGGTTCACCGTGACAGGTCCTGCTAAGGGTATTACTCTCTCACACACACAAACACACACATATTAAATAATCCATCACAATTTCTGAGTGGCTTTATTACATTACAGGAGTTTCAAAATTATGCCATCACCCTCTAACTCTCACACATCCTTAAGTGTTTTTCTTGCTAGTCTCCTGACAAAGGGCTAGAGGACGTACAATAAATATTACGCTCAACCCTAGAGAAACGCCTACCGCTTTAGAAAGTCTGTGACTGGCAGAACTGCGGTTTGGATGAGAGGCAGCACAGTGCTCAGCCCAGTGCATGACTGACCTTCTTCCCCCTTTC